GTGTGTGTGTGTGAATTTTTAATTGCCTTTTCAAAGCGTCCCATGCAACATGCCTTTGCTTTCAGGATTTGGATTCGTTGCAACTGCCTGACAATTCCACCTCCGAGATACTGTCTTCCAGCAAACCTGGGGACTAGCGGCGTACCTCTTAGTTTTCCCTGGCATGCTACAAGAGATGAAAGCCCAGTTAATGCAGTGTTACTAACTTCACCCTGATGCTACCACCCCGGAATGGGGGGAGGTAGATAATTTTCCACCTTACCAAAAATTGGGCGTGGGGAGCGTGACCCTAGTTGAAACCCCAGGTGAAATTCCTCCTCAGACTTTCAGGAAGAGTCTTTCCCTAGGGAGATGATGGGAATCATTTAGCATTGCGTTCCTGCAAAAATATATTCTTCCCCTTAGATGAACCCGGTGTTCTTGGGGATAATTTGTTCCCTGACAGGGCAAGGGACGGTGAAATCTGTTTGTTTGTTCCCCTCTTCAGAAAAATGGTGCTCTCATTACTATGGGAGGAGGCAGGGAAGGGACCCTGAGCAAACAGGGACCCCTGGGAATGCAGTTGCAGAAAGTTGTCCAGCCTGGCCCCATTAGCAATGTCTGTGAAACAGCAGCGGGACGACTGTTTAACCTGGTCGCATGGTGGCAGTGAGGTGCATCCTCACTGGCAGTCCATCAGTTGAACTAACAGTGATAGATAGGAGCTTCCTTGCCCCGGCTGGGCATCAGGGTAACTTTCTCCAATAGATGGATGGCAAAAAGTAAATTAGCACAAACGTGGGTATGGACACGCTGGCTTCCTACCAGTGCAAGGACTCAGCCACGGGCTGGTCTTTCTAGCCGAGGCTTAGCCTAAGCAATACGAGTGTATTGATAAGAGAGACCCACGACGTGGTGTGTGTCAACTGAGATGGGGAGAAGCGACGGGGTTGAGGATTTCCTCTCCCCTGGAAGCTTAGGGACCTGCATACCAGTTAGGGCATCTGCTCCATTCCAGCTGCCAAAAATTGCTCTTTAGAAGAATCTGCCTGAGGCCCAGAGAAAAGTTGTCTTTGGATGGGGGTGGGGTGGATGCCAGGGCTGAGGTGAGCTCCATCAGAGGTTTAAAAAAAAAAATCACCCCCACCTTCTGATGAATTTGGGGGGAGGGGTGTTTAACAAGGGGCTTTCCAAGGGTCCTCACCATCCCGTGACTGCATTACCGGGTTTGTGCTGAAACAATGGCCTTTTGTCAGGGTTGACGGTCCCACCTAACAGGTGCCTCTTAGATAGATAGATCGCTCCTGCCAGGGGCTCCGAGTGGGCGGGAGATCTTGATCTCCGCTTTCTCTGTCTCTGTTATGCCTTTTGATATCAACTGCAACAAAGCGGGGGCGGGGGGGGGAATTCCATTGCTTCCATTCCAGCCCGCGTCTCTCTTGAGCCTGCTGGCCCTGTGCGAGGGAGCCTGGATACATAGGATGGGCAGTGGGAGTGAGAATTGCAGCTCTCATCCATCCAGGAAAAGTCACAGGTTGCAGATTTTTGTGGCTGGGAATTAATTAACGGAAGCTCCCCTCTGTGGAGGAGCATGCGAGGGGGTGGAGGTATGAAATCGCTGCAGCTGGAGGTGACACGGACACAGGCCATTTGGGATCCAGGCAGACACCTAATTGGCTCTGGCAGGGTCAACAACCACAGCTTTGGGAGAAATCAGATCCCCAACATATTATTATTTTTTAATAATTATATAATACGTAGAGGCCCCCAGCGGAGATCAGGACCTCATTGGGCTTGGCACTTCACATACACGTCATGTCCCAGCCCCAAAGAGCTAACAAGACAAGTCAGACAGAAAGCTGGGATGGGGAACAGAGGTGGCACAGGGAGATAAAGTGACTTGCCCAAGGACACTCAGCAGGCCAGCTGGGAACTCAACCCAGGCCCTAATCCATGAAAGGATGAGAGTGAGCAGGACTGATGGCTTGGAGGGTGGCGCTTTTACTGGTGGGGAGGCTTTTAATGAGATCCAAGCCAGCAAACTGTCTGGGCATGAGCCTATGTGTAAAGCCAATTGGCTAAGAAGGCTGTCAGTCAAGTAGAGAGCTAAGGGAGGGACTTCCTTTCTCTCCATATAAAACCCCCAGTCTTCCAGCTGGGGGACAGTCAGTCAGGGTATGTCTGTGTTTAGAGTTGGGGGTGCAATTCCTAGCTAGCGTGCTAAAAATACATTGTATCCGTGGCAGCGTGAGTGGGGCTAGCCAGCCGCTATGTATTTGGGATGGCCAGCACCTTGCAACACCGCGACTCCATTCCACTTTCAGCATGCATATGCCTACGTGAGCTGGGAATCACACCCCCAGCTCGAAAGTGTAGACATACCCTCAGTCAGGTAGTTGGCAGCATAGGTGTTGGAACGAGAGGTGTGGAGGTGCTGCCGCACCCCCTTGCTTGAAGTGGTTTCCATCATATACAGGATTTATAGTTTGGTTTAATGGCTCTCAGCACCCCCACTACT